TAAACCAATTCTAACAAATTCAGAATTTCTTGACAGAAGCTGGCTTCATGAAACCAAATACTCCTCGTCCTTAATCTGGTGGTTAAAAGCTAGTTCTCTCAAAAAGGGTTGGATCTAGCATGATCCCTAACAAATTTAAAAAATAATAATTGTTTCGCATCATGTCACTGTTTCAAACTGGAGAATGTTGAAAAATTTATGAGAAAGCTAGTTTAATAGACAGGAATTAAGACCTACCTTGGTGGTTCACCATTAAAAAATCCTGTTTAGTCTGGGTTTAGGCTTACTCTGGGTTTGGGAAACCATTTTGCATGTACTGCCATTAAAGGCTTCACAATTCATATGTATTATATTACATTTATTGCCCACATAAAGTCATACAAGTCTATCAAAAGAATATATTTATTCCATTAAAAGTACAACAAAAAACACTGTTTGTTCGTATCTCTTCAGGTAGAGGGTGGTTGCATATTTATAGACCATTCTCCCAATTTCCAGCAGCGTATTTTAGTCATATGTATTCAGACAAAAGATTGACTTGACACACAGCAAGAACAGAAGAACAAACACAAACACCTGGTGTATTGCCAGAGCTTGTACTGTGACTGGTCTCTGTGGTGCCATCTTGTCAGTATCATATTCACTACTCAAAGAACTCTATGCAGCACCTTTATTCTTAAGAGTGTAGTTATTTTTTATAATCTTATAAAACATTTTACAGAAATGATTGTGTGGGAAATCAATGTTTTTAATATATAACAAAGTTGTTGCTGACAGATGTTTAAAGGAGGTCCGTTATGATGCTGCTACCCCACAACTTGTAGACGTCACATAATTAAAGTAGCAGGAAGCTGTGAACAATGAAGAAATACTGTATGTAAAGTTATAACATAAATATCCAGAATGCTTCATATGTGAAATGTAGTGATCAAAGTTTGCAGCAGAAAACAAGAAATTACTATAAACAAATACAGTGTATTCTTCTTCATTTACTAACTGGTGTCAAGTGTGTAGTATTTCAATCTACATTGTACAAGTTACCATTGAATAAAACAGACAGCAATAGTACAAGGGATTCAACACTTTGGAATAGCATTGTATAACTATTACATGCTTCATAGTGGTTTAATATTTATCCACTTATATTCACTTAATATTAAATATTTGTCTTCAGGGTCCAGTTTTTCAAAAGCTCTTAATGGAGTTTGGTTTAGACTGATCTCCAAATCTTTCTGGATCCCCAGATCTACAAATAGTAAAACAAGCAACATTTCTCAGTTATCCAGGTAATAGCCAAAGTAGGTGTTCAGTATAGCAATTATCAGTGTTGTTGGAACTTCTAATTCTTCAATAGAATCCTTGTTAAGCCTTTACTCAGACCATGGGATTAATTATTGATTATCGGTCAGCTGAAAAAGAAAAATGGGGGTGAAGCAGAGGTGAGTAATATGGCAATAATACAATGACAATACTTCAAGAAATGGTCATGATGCTTAATGATATTTATGATACTTCATGATATTTATTTTATCTGACATCTAATAAGTCAGGATGAACAGAAACAACTAGTAGTGCCACCTCTTTACAGAAAAATCTGTGTCCGAGCCCCCATGAGCGTCGACAGTGGCAAGGAAAGACTCCCTAAAGCAAGAGGAAGAAACCTTGAAAGGAACCAAGACTCTGAAGGGAACCCATCCTCTTCTGGTCGACACGAGATAGCAAACAATAACACAAGAGCAATATGAACACAGAATAAGGTTTGAATATTAGTATAAGACACAGAAAAGGGGAAAAGCAGGAGAAGCAATGGCTCTAATTAAATAGAGTCTGTGCAGCAGCAGTAGGATCAGGAGGGTCAGTTCAGGCTGGTGAGGTTTGCACAGCGTTGTACAACAACATTGTATGTTCAGTATTTCACATGTTAAACTGCAGTAAATCCAGTCAAACAGGACTGTTTATGCTTACTTTGTAATGAAACAAACTGTCTTTTTGTAATGACAGTAAACATCAATGATTGTTTTCCTAAACCCAGATTAGGTTGGTACGAATTTCAGTTTATTTAATTATTCTTTTAGGTAGCATCTCATCGTATATATATTATTTTCTTATAATCTCATGAAGATATTCTCCATATTTACATGCATTGCTCTATAAATGCAATTGCTCAGTACAATGTGTAAATGTTTCATGACTAGAAAAAAAAAAAAAAGAACATTGTTCTTCCCCTACAGTTCCTGTTGTGGAGATATGATGTTCCATTAAAGCTTAGAAATGCTTTTTCGTCGTGTAGTTCAAGACGTCAAGGTGGCTCATTAAAACTTTTTGCTCAACCCAAATAAATAATGAATTACCACATTAAACTATTGCCTGCCTACACTAAGCTCACATCTCCTGCATTATAGCACCCCGCTGTCTTTCGGCGGTGCTGTTCTGATTGATTGCTGATTTTAATATGTATGTAGAGTCATAGGGAAATATTTGGGCACCCCTGGTCAACTGACATGTTTAGCTGATGTTCTAAGTAAGAATATGTTAACACAGCCTCTCCAGGAAATATACTTTTAAGTATGACAATTTTCTGCAAATTTTAGTGCACAAATTCTATTTATTTGCTGAGTTTAACATATTGGAAAAAATACAGCACAAAATATGAAACGTGCCATAACCCCCACCCCCCATTTTAAGTTCAGTAAATAAACAGTTATTGTGCATTAAGATGTGCAGTAGTGTGTTCTTTGTAGAAGATGTGTTAACTTATTTTCACTTCAAATCAACACAATGTCATTTGACCAGGAGTGCTCAAACTTTTGCATATGACTGTATAAAGGCAGACAGACAGACAGACAGACAGTAAGGTGGTATGGATGGTAAGGTATAATAAGTGTAACAGTTTTATAAAGTTAAGCAAAAACAAGTTCTTTACCACCACACTGTTCGCCTTTCTACTGAAAACACAATATATTGACGATCTGTCAGATGAATAAATTAAACAATGTATATAAAGCAAAACAAGTTTCATACTGGTATAAAATTGATTTAACTGAAATAGTGTTAACATACAAATGATAACCTGTCCCTGAACCTTACAAATACAGATCATCACAGCTTATTATCTCTCCCATACAGTTTAATGTAGCAGCATATCATCGCTGTCCAAAACATGCATCTCCATTTTTTTCATCTTTTACTTTACTGCATCATTTGAGCACAGTAGCTGTGGTTTACACTGTGTGAAAATGTCATGACGATAAGACCAACAGAAATGCTCCAAAAATGCCTGGAATAAAAGTTCTTCACATTAACTTACATAGAATGTAAAAAACATTTTTTCCCTCTGCTGGACAACGACGATATGTTTGCCTATTGTAGCAGTGCCAGTCTTTCCTCTTTAGAGAAGTGTCAACATCACCGATGTGCTGTAGCACCATCTAGTGGCTATGATTGTTGGCATTGTTGAAATCAACAAAGAAATCAACACCACCCCCATCCCAGCCCCCACAACTAATTTCAGTAATTCATGATACATAAGTAGAGTGGACTTAGATAAAGGATCAGGATAGTAGAACATAAACCAATTCTAACAAATTCAGAATTTCTTGACAGAAGCTGGCTTCATGAAACCAAATATTGCTCATCCTTAATCTGGTGGTTAAAAGCTAGTTCTCTCAAAAAGGGTTGGATCTAGCATGATCCCTAACAAATTAAAAAAAAAAGGCTTCACAATTCATAAATATTATATTACATTTATTGCTTGTATGACACAAAGTCATACAAGTCTATCAAAAGAATATATTTATTCCATTAAAAGTACAACAAAAACCACAGACACAAACGAAGCAAACATTTCAACTACTTGCTATCATCAGTGCTCATTAAGCAACTCTCTCAACTTACTTCCTTTTGAAGACCCAGACAAATTGCCCTCACCTGTGTAGGTTCTGCTAAGGCCTTCTTAAAGTAACAGTCCACCAGCAAGAGGATTTACTCAGTTGCAAAAACAAAAAATCAAGTATGTCAAAAATATCAGAAACCATTTCAAAATATAATACATTACTCAAAGATAATCTTTTTACAGAAAACAACTGAGATTAAGATCCTCATTCTTACCTTTAGGGAACAGAGATAAAAGTACCTCCAAAAGGCCTCCCTCTGTCATAATCTTTTGTCCCGATCTCCATCTCCTCTTTGCAGTGAAATATTTTTGAATCAATATATACTTTCGATAGACTTGTCTGACTTTTCAACAGCATGACTGCCCAATTGACAATATATCCACATGTTATGATGCCTGAAGATACAAACACAACTCATCATCATTAACTTCATTTTTAACTGCTTAGTCCAGATAGGGTTGGGGCACAAACACAGCTCCTCTAGACAAATTTTTTAAAAACACTGTAAACAACATTTTTTGAACAAAGGACTACTGGAGGCACCGTAAGGCTGAACCAACACATTTTCACTTTCGCTGCAAACAGAAAGGTTTTAAATTTTAAAAAATATTTAAAAATGCATTCAAGAGACACTCAAGAATAATTTTGAGGAAAGCATTTGGAAAAATAATATTAACTATAATAATACGGGGCCTCATTCACCAAGCATTCTTAAGGAGAAATTTCCTCTTAAAACCCTCTTATGCAGTTTTCACAAAGATTCTGACATTTACTAATTTGGGACTAACTAATTTGGGACTACCTTTCTTATTTGGGATTTGTTCTTCGGTAAGAACAGAATCCACACACACTCAAGAGCACAAAACTGAGAACAATTCTGCAGTTTAAGAACACGTGATAAATCTGATGTAAACTTTTTCTTAGGACCTTTCTGAAGAACGCATTTAAGAAAAAACTTAGGAAGATATTGTTAAATGAGATCCATTGTTTTTCAGGACAATTTCTCTGGGACACACCAGAAAGAATCTGATGTCATTGGTCATGTGACAAGTGAGCAGGTGATACTAATTAGGATTCTTTACCAAAACGCTCAAAAAGACAATCAGATGCAGGATTGGTGGTGTTTGTAGTGTTTTGGGTGGTGTGTGTTTTAGGAGTTTGTCTTCTCTCATTTATATTTCAAAAAAAATGGGATGGGAGTGGAAGAGGTATTTATACAATTTCCCTTTGTTTCTCAGATTTAATTCATGTGTAAATCCTGTGTAAATGTCTCTTTGTGTTGCAGACTGTACTTATTTTCCATTGGTTTGATCCTCTTGGGGAATACAGATGGATTTAGTGGTAAGATCTCAAAAATCTTTCAAATCTAACCAAGTCATGATTATCTATATTTTAGCTGACTTCTTGTTGTCCTGCACAGTTCAGCCTAAACCATCTACCAGTGACTGGCAACCTGTAGGTTCTGTTGTCTCAAAGAACCAACCTCGTCCTCCTCCCCAAAACCACTTTAACTTTGACACAGCTAGAACCCAACCTTCTGAGCTGCCCTCCACAAATACTGCAAGTGGTAAATCTGGGTGGGCAGAATTTGACCCTAAAATCCACATGTCCACCTCTAAGTCCCAAATTGCTCAGCATGGTGCTGTTTCAGTTCAGACTTCTGGTGCTGGTAAACCTGTACTAAATGTCCAGAACCAATATGGTCAGCCCCTTATGCGTCAGGGAAGCTACAGGACCCCACCGTCAAGGCCATATTGGTATGCTTCAAATAATTGGAAGCCTGTTAACTGTGGACATCTTGCTTCCCGATATCCTGCCAGAAATCAAGATGTACCCAGGCCTGTGGCCAAATCCCAGAGCTCAGAAAATGAGCTTATGTCTACCTATAATCAGAACAGCTATGGTGCTCAACTCTCAGGAGCTTCTCGCTGGTATACTTTGGAGGGACGGCAGACTCCATCTTCATACCAAAGCACCCCAAACCAGCCAAACAAGCCCATGCCTCAATCATCTTGGAGTTTAGCAAACCAGTATTCTGCCACCTCTCTGAATCAAGGTACCTATAGAGATCAGCCCACTGTACCTTCAAGCCAATATAGCTCTTCAGGGAGGCTGAGTGTTCCATCACCACCTAAATCTCAAAGCAAGCCTAGTGACTATATCTTGGGATCTTTGACCCAGCCAGCAAACCAGCTCATGACCCTATCCCAGACTTCAGGTGCATCTCCTGTTGTCTCTTTGGGTCAGAGCAGATATGGGGCTCAATCCACAGCTGCCTCTGGATCGTACAATGTCCAGGCCTCTAGCCAGTATACCTTTTCCCGGGGGCAGAGCACTCCTTCATTTTCCCAGTCAAGAGACACCCTGACTCAAGTCCAGTCCCAGCCTTTGTCCAAGCCCATGATCCCAACAGAGAGTTTAGGCACTAAGTACATGTCTTCAATTCCAACTAGCTCAGGTGCTAAATGGTATAGGGTGGATCCTCTTAGGCTCCAGGTTTTGCAATTATCCCACTAGGGGATGACCAGGCTGCCTCAAGCAACTATCCTCCTACAACTGAAAGCCAAAGCACCCCAACCATATTTGTATTTCAAAGCCAACGTTAACATACTTTTTTAAATGCAGCCTTGACCCAGAGTGGTGTTCAGCCTCCAACTTTACAAACCTCAAATGCTTCCAACCCTTCAGTCCTCATGTCCCAGGCCCCCTAGAGAGTCCAAAAATAGTGCAGAGAACGCAATCCATCATCTCCTAGCCAAATTTCAATTACTTCTCAAAGCCAAAGCACCCCAGGCACTTTTATAATTGCTTTCAAAGCCAAAATTTCAGTTGGAGCCTTGACCCAGAGAGGCCAGTTTCCATCTTTCCAAACCTTCAGCAGATTCTCTAGTATATCCCAAGATGCCTCCACTTCTGTTTCTGAGCCATCCCAGAGGGCCCAAAGCTCAATAAGACCCCCATGGGTTCTCACCCTTTGCTTCAGAGTGGTGCATCTCAGGTGGGACATATTGACCAGTACAGCCCACTAAGTAGTCCCTCATCCAGAGCCTTCATGTCTGCTCAAAGAACCCCAACCAACTTTGGACTTGTGCAATGGCAGAGCAGCCAGGCACTGGGGGACCTCTGACCAACCAACATCTGCTGTAGGCTCTTACCTCAACCAGCAGATATTTGAAGCACAAGAGTCAAGTGGCTCTTCAGCTTTTCAGGTTGCTCCAAGCCTTACTGATTCCTCTAATAGGTTGTGGTCAACCAGCTACAGCTTTGCTCAAAACCTAAATGACCCCAGTGACTGCAAACCTGCAACCTGGCATTTGTCTGAACTGTTTTGACTCTGTGGTCAAGTGCCGAGTATTGTATCAATTGCCACATGTTCCTGACCAAGTCTTGCTTATTTGAATGGTACTATGTTTGAATGTTCAGCATTAAAAAAAATAAGCTGATTGGCCATTTTGTTCTGGTTCTTTTTGATGGTCCTTGTTCTGGTTCTTGCATGTTAACATAAATGCATTGATTCATTGCTGTTTTTGTATTTAAAAATACAAGGGTTACTCCCCAGGTTACTTGTGCGCTGCGTACACAAGTGTCTTTCTATTTATTTTTGTGTGTTGAATGCTTTTAAGATCAAGACTGAGTAAAGCTAGTGAAAATAATTCTGTAAAATATATACCATAGCAACCAGTCAAGCCCTACTCACAGTGTACATAAAATGTGGCCTGTGCAAAAGTTGCAGTTTGCATAATGTGTTGCCTTTTTTACATTTCAAAAATCAAGGAAGTGTCATTTGACCAGGGTTGTTGAAACTTCTGGATATGACTGTATAAGCTGGTATCAAACACTTGATCAGGTGGAGAAGTACAAATTCGGTACAATCCACTTTTGTAGACTTGTTTTACACTTTCTAAGAACTTGTATACTTAAAATCTGAGCTGAGCTCATTGTCTCCTGGATGAATAATCTGGGTCTTTGCACTAAATGATATCTAAACCTGACACTGTGACAAACAGCAACATGTTTGATATGCAGTAAACACATTATGTATTTGCCATAATCTTCCAAAAGGAATGCCTGTGTTATATGGAGAAGTCATAATGTGTAAAATAAGAAGCAGACACCAGATGATGTGTCATGACAGCTGCTTGTTTATGCTGAGTTTATTGCTTAATGCACAAAAGGTTTTCATATCTGTCCAGTCAGAAGCTCTGTGTGGTTCATTTGCAGCGATCGCTGGGCAGGTGCTTATTCTCCTCATTGTAGCCAGCAACAGCAAAGCACTCAGCAGCCTTCCTGTCACACTCGCAGATGAACATCTCGCACTCGTTGTTGTTGCCTGAGAAAGATTAATTGAATTTTATTTAAATAAAAAAAAACTGTTTTCCTTGCTATGGGCCCTTTAAGCGATAATCATGTCCACAAATTGTTTACTTTTTTCGGCATGAAATTCCACTTAAAAAAAGCCTCATGCTGATCAAATTGCTGTGTGCCACTTACTTTTGCAGGTGATCTTCTTATTGGCTTTGTCACACTGGTAGGCATAGATCTCAGTGTAGGGATTGTCCAGGATGGGCCAGCAGGCGTCATGCTGCATAGCATCACTGTAGCACTGGTCATGAACATGACAGCATCTGTAGGCATGGGAGAGAATTTAAGGAGGTTTCATTTTTGCTCAAATAAATGCATTATGACAACATTAGATGAAAACATGACCAATATATCTAGGATCTTGTAAAACTGTTCATATTCACCTTCTACACTTTCTTCAAGCATTATTTAGTAAAGAAAATGGTTCTACATAGAACCATGAACACTCAAAGAACCCTTTGCATGATTAAAGGGTTTTTGCATCATTAAAACATTTAATAGTTCTTCAAATTGATGGAGAACGTGTTGTAGATGGTTCTACAAAGAATCCCTTTGAAAAGGGTTCTGTATAGCCTCAAAAAGGGTTCTTCTACTGTTACAAGATTGACATCATAACAATAGAAGAAGGTTTTGGTGCTATACAGAGCCATTTTCAGAAAGGTCATCTACAGCCCTTTTTTTGTCATGCAAAGGGTTCTTTAAGTATTTATGGTTCTATATAGAACCATTTTCTTTACTAAAGAACCCTTGAATAAACATCTTTTTTAAGTGTGTACAGGGGTGCAAATCCATGCTACAACCAATTATTCAATGTGTAAAAAGAGTTTTTTTTTTCCTGGTTCGTTGTCTCTGACCTGTCCAGCTCGTCGACAGGGGTTCCTGAGCCACCCTTGCCGCAGTAGCAGCCGTAGTCGCTGTAATCCAGGGCTGGCCAGCTGTCAGGCATGGTGCAGAGGATCATACCCCTGAACTGCCACAGAGCCCTGTAGTCGAGGTAGGCCTGAGCTGAATCAAACAAACACACATACACAGTTAATTAAGGTACATGATATTCAACAAGGTGAATCTGACACTGATGTGGTGGTGGTCTGTTAGTGTGTGTTGTGCTGATGTTGTTGGTCCACCTTATATATGTAAAGTCAAAGACAGTAGCTCATCTGTTGCTGCACAGTTTGTGTTGGTCATCCTCTAGTCCTTCATCAGAGGTCAAGGACGCTGCCCACAGGACACTGTTGACCGGATGTTTTTTGGTTGGTGGACGATTCTCACTGCTGTGTCTGATCCACTCGCACCAGCACAACACACACTAAAACACGACCACCATGTCAGTGTCACAGCAGTGGTGAGAATGCTCCACCACCCAAATATTACCTGCTGTGTGGGGGTCCTGTGGGGGTTCTGACCCTTGAAGAACAGGGTGAAAGTGGGCTAACAGAGTATGTAGAAACAGATAGACTACAGTCTGTAAATGTAGAACTACAAAGTGCTCCTATATGGTAGGAGATGCAAGGAGGCAGGTTTAATATGTGTGTGTGTGTGTGTGTGTGTGTATATGTATGTATGTATGTATATATATATATGTATATATATATATATATATATACTAGCAAACACAGCTTTAAACAGTTGTACACACTATAAAATCATAATGACTTTCTTTAAAATACAAAAGTTTTCTAATCGCAGAAAGTGCGTGTTTCGGTAGTGATCATTTTTAATGTTCCTCTCATTAAGAATTACCCAATACCCAATTAAAAATACCCAATAAATGATGCTGTTGTATATATTTATTATTATCTTATATACTGTGGGGCCTCAATTTGAACTTATTCAGTAGAATGACCCATATATAAATAAACTTTTGTTTGCGCACCAGATAAGTTGGCTTGCTCATGAGAAAGCATGCTCCCGATACTAAGCGTAAACATTTCTCATGTGCACATGAAACTCTCTGGTGAGCATGTTCATTTTTGGTGCACATGCAAATGTTTGTATGCTCACCTGAAAGCTTCAGGACTTTTATTTTGCTATAGTATGTGGCTCAGTATGTGGAGCTCTGGGCTCTGCTCTAAACTCATTCTAATAAAAAAAACAGGCACTTACTGACTGTGAGGCCAAGGGCCAACAAGAGCACAGTGTGGAGGGTCTTCATGGTGTCCAATAGAGAGATCGACTCAGACTCATCTCTCAGCCAGCTCTCCTTATGTAGCCTCAACGCAACCTTGAAATGTTTAACTGGCACAGATAACATAGAGAGCTGCAGGCAAGTTTCAGAGCACATATGGAACCACGCCTGGAAACTCTCACAGCCTGACAGGCATTGCCTTATCTCACACCATGACAGCCTGACATGATATGCACTGGTAAGAAATGTAGTTTCTTTAAAATAAGCTATGCTTTGCAAGGCATAATTGATGCTGAAATATTTAGAGCTGGTGCATTACAGCAGGGAAGACTGAAGTGTGCATTTTTTTTTTTTTTTTCCTATTTTGAGATTGCTGTAAAAATATAAGATTACTCAACATACTTTTATTCATTTTCCTGTTTTAAGCAATTTTATCTAGTAAACCTGTCTTATTCTTTTGGGAGATAATTGTGCTTGTTTCACGCATTAAGCCTGCATTCCCAGTTTTTCTCCTGCTGTGCAGAAAGCCTCACCTGCAGGCCCTATTCACGCTCCTAATGATAATGGTGCCTGCATGGACTCTAACTAGCTCTATTAAATCTTGGTGTTTACCTGCCTCCACACTTCACTGAGTTGAGTTCTACACATGCTATTGTGTTGTCATGATAGGACTCTAACAGAGGTCATTGGTTTTCACGGATTTAGGTCTCATTTTCACAGTGATGCGCTTCCAACAGTCTGGTTTTCATAGATCTATTTTTCATGTGTTACTCTGACTTCTAAAGTAGTCATCTGTTGTCTTTGGTTAATTTAAATATTTCTGTCATCAGTCATCATTGGTTAATCTAAACACCTCTGTCATCGATTGTCATCGGTTGTCACTGGTTAATCTAAATAGTTCTGTCATCGGTTATCATGGGTTAATTTAAATAATTGTTATCAGTTGTCATTGGTTAATCTAAATTCCTCTGTCATTCTTCCATCAGTTGTCATTGGTTAAGCTAAGCACTTTTGTCATCAATTTTCATGGTTAAATCTAAATATGTCTGTCATTGGTCTGTCATCATTATTATTGGTTAACCTAAATACTTGTCATGGTTATGATTGCTTAATCTAAATAATTCTGTCCAATGACAGGCTCAATTATTTTCTTTATTCCATATTCACTATTGTATATTCATCATAATTTCTTTGTTTTGTTTATATTGCAATTTTCGTTTTGCTATCCAGTGTTGACCAGAGCAGTTTCTCAAAATAAAAATATACATTGACCTAAGATACGTGTGTGTGTGTGTGTGTGTCAAGACCTCATTTTGCTGTGCTTTTGCATGGTTTCTTGAGCCATGCTGTGGTTCCCATAATGTAAAGCTTCTTAAACTTTTTTTAATGTTCCTTAAACGTAAAAAAAACGTTCATCACACACATCTCATTTACAAAAAATGTTTCTCTAACGAAACATCCACTGACCAGTTAATTAGGGAACCAAATGTGGTTTTTCTATGGTGTCACTCAACGAACCCCTTCTGGAACCTTTACTGTTAAGACGTACATGGAGGCATTTAGCATTTAGGAAAAAGGAACTGCACTGTTCGTTATCTGTCCAAGGTCACTCTGATCTTTTCAACACACAGAATAAACAGAGGAAACAACATATTAAGGGTGCTAAAAACAGACAAATGCTTTATTTAAAACTGGTTTCCATTGTTTTACATTCAGGAGTGTCTGTTAAAACAACAGGAAGAAGTCCAAAAAGTGCAAACAATAAATTAGACAATAAAATGATTAGTCAGATATTTGGAGAGAAACATACAAAAATACAAAGGAAATCATGCTTTGTCAGTTAACGGCAAAAAACTGGCACCAGAAAAAAAAAAAACTGGCATTCTGTATGTGACATAAACCTCCCGCCTCGCCTCAATGCTTTCTGTATGTTACATTAAAATGTACATATTTCATACCTTTAATGTTGGTCCACTCTCTGACTGACAGAACAACACGCTACATGAAATGATTAAAGTCAAAACTCTTATTTAATATATTAAAAAAACTATACTATAACTATGACACAGCAAGTACCTTCATTGCGTTAATGCCCTCAATATCAAACACTTCATTTAACATCTCAACAAACTGATCACTTTCTCACTTTAGCACCGGATTTATGGTCCAGAACTGATGCAATCAGCTTTTTCGATCTCCGTCAAGCAAAGTCTAACAAACCCACCCTGAGAACTTCTGGACCCACTTCTGCTGGAGTAATTCTCTCAATTTTATCCAAAATTTCATCACTGTCGGAAAAGAACTTGTATCTCTAAATGGATTACTTTACACAAAAAAGAAAAACTTTTCTTTGATGAATGCTGAAAATATTTTTCTTTTCAATTATTCTAATAAATATTACCTAAATATCTGAATATCCTATAAGAATTAAGAAAGATCAAGATGTGTGTTTCACTCTAATGATTTTTCTTGTAATTTACTGTTATTATTATTACAATTCATCTTTTTATTAAAGAAACAAAATAAAACAAGATAGTGGAAAAAACATCGCTGATAAACAACTACTGTCATAACAAATGGCATAAAATGCTATTCAAACAGATCCTGCACTGTTTGAATGTGTCAGTGATGAGCAGTGCAGGACAGCAGTGCAGCGTCTTTATATACATAATGTGACCTTGTTTTAGATTCTACGCATCATAAGCAAAAGTTTGTGCACCTGTCAAAGTCTTTTTTTTTTTTTATTTTCTAAGTGCAAACAAGTGAACACATCCTCTACAGAGAGGATTTTAATGTAAGATTACTGTTTATGTGCTGAATTTAACATGTTGGAAAATAATAAAACAGAAAATGTGACCTGTGCAAAAGTTATGGCACATTTTATATTTTACATTTTATTTTATCCCCAATAAGTTCAACTGAAAAAAACATAGAAACTGTACACGAATTTGCAGAAAATGTTACATTTCAATTTGTTCCATGTAGGGAATGTGGTATTTTTACATAGAAAATCAAAAAACAGTTTTAACTGGGTGCACACAACTGAAAGTTTTTTAAGCTGCTATATATTCTAGTGTGCACTAAACTGTATTACTCTTAACATCTTGGGCAGTTTTAATAAGTTTCTGCTCCGGATGGATGGCTCTCTAACCTGCATATTCTCGTTTATTCTCAGAAAATTCTCAGAAAGCATTTGGACTCTGGCAGGCAATTTAAACCAACACTATCCACTGAAATTAGAGCTCTAATATAGACGTCTGACTACTGCCGAGATGTCACTGCCGCTTTGACAGGAAAGGTTTGAGCAACATGAAAAAAGAGTTTAAATCGCTGCTTTTGCATAAAGTGCAGGCAGATTCTTTCTCTCTTTAGATGCACTGCTGCTGCTGACTTGCTAGCATTTAGCTTCAGAAATAAAACTGATAGAATTTGGTGCATTGAAGCGTGTGCTTTCATAAAATTGGGTAAAAGAACCATTTATTCAAATTGCTTTTCAGTTTCCAAATATTTTAATAATCCAATTTTACTAATTATCTGTTTATTCCAATTTTGGAGCATTTCTATTGGTCCGCTCATCCATTCATCAAGAAAAACCACACAATGTAAAGGACAGCTGGTGTTTTCAAATCATGTCAAAAAATAAATCATGACAAAAAAGAGATACAATGTTTTGTTCCAACCAGAACCATATTCTGGGATCTGATATGGCTTGGAGAGTACCTACATGATCCAAGCAGTCATATACATGTGCTTTGGCTCAGTTACCAAAGTGGGTGGGGTTTATTTCTGCAATGATATTGTTATTTATGCCTGTATTCACTTGGCAACACCCAAATGCTGAGCACTTGGCATCAACCCCACAGAAGCACTAATAAAAACCAAAAAGGGAGAGGAATAAACCTACACTAGACAGCAGTTCTTCAGGGTGGAACAAACAGAAGCGTGGCAGATGCAGTGTAGTTTATGAGCTGGCATCAGTCAGATTGGTTTGTACAGCAGAGTGGTGACGTACTTCTTCTTATAACGATGTGTGGCACTGAGGACCATTACTCCGTCCTGTAAAAGACACAGCAAGGGAACATTTACAATCAGTAATTGTGTCACTAAAAGCCTACTCACACCAAGGCTGACTGTTAGGGATGGAAAAAAACATTTTATTTTAGTTTTTTTTTCATGAAACACCCCGAGAATGTGTTAAGAATGCAACCGCCAGCAAAAGTCTGGGTGCCCCTGTCAAATAATGTTTGAGATTCTAAGTGAGTCATATGCAAAAAGCTGGGTGCCCGGTTAAATGCTCTAACACATCCATCTAAAGATGTGCACATTTTAACACACAATTACTGTTTACTTGCTGAATTTAACATATTGAAAAAAAAAGTTATGTGCACAGGTTATGGCACATATCACAGGTTGTGTTATATGTTATACCCAATTTTCTCCCCAAAATTTAGACGTATCCAATCCACCCACTAGTTAGGACTCCCCCAGTCACACGATACCTTCAGCGCTGAGAGGGTGAAAGCTAGCATAGGCTTCCTCCAAGACCTGTGAAGCACCACCACATATTTTCAAACTGCCACTAACACAATGTCATTGGACAGCCAGCGCTCAGAGGAAAGCACCGACCACCAATTCTCTCACATCAGCTAACAGATGACTGCACTGACTGGCATCACACTGAGTGATTGGGGGAGACAGGTGGGTCATCCTAGCCACCCAGAGAGCGAGGCGCTCTCTTGGACTCCCGGCCACGGATGGCTGTAGCATCACCAGGGATCAAACTCATGATCTCCTGAAGAGAGGGCCAACGCTTAGACAGTTGCACCACTCAGGAGCCTAAGCGAATTAAGGTGTTAACTCACTATAGGTTGGACATTGCTTTGAAAATGCAAATAAAAATTTCGGCAACAGAAATATTTGTTTATAATTTTTGTGTCAACGTTATCAATAATGACGAACAACTGTTTCATACCCAGGAAAGATCTTGGTTTAAATGCACACATACAGTGAGTCTGACACCGCTCTCACTGACCGTAATAAAAGAGAGGTCTTTCAAAATGAGTGAATCAGAGACTGGGTGGCTTCTAAATAAGCACTGGATGCTTAATGCATTTCAAATCCTGCACGTCAGAACTCATTCAACCCATAATTTTCTGGGCACAGTAAAAATGTTCCAAAATGAGAGAAAGCAGTTACAGACTGTAATAGAAAAGGTAGAAAGGGTCCAGTTCCCTAAAAGCAATGTAACATTACAATTATCTTCACTGCTAGGAGAGTGTGTTCGAAATGGTGTGAATTCTACCATCTTCGATTTTCTAATAATGCTAGTTTAACACCCTTATCAGTTTCAGACCTGCCTCTTACCTTGATGGACAGAGCGTAGAGGTGGTTCAGCATGACGTGATTTGGCTCAGGGAGTAAGGCAGGGTCACACTGGCGAAGGAAAAAAAAAGACATTTTTCTATGGTTGGACAAATCTTAACATGCAATTCAGGAGATTTTCCAAAATGTCTGCATAATTAAATCATTAAGATGTAAAAAAAAAAAGTCATTCAGAGTGGTTTGATATGAAATGCTCAGAATTTGTCAGAGCGATGGTGATGGGAACCAAATGTCTAAAAACTTTAATGCCTCTAAAAGCTCCCTCATAGAAGGTTATTACATAAAATGATTATAAATACGCTGCCTGATGCCTAAAACACTATTTTACAGTAGTTCTGAGTTCTTTTCTTATTTCTTTCAGATTCTACTATTTGACCATCAATATTACATACAAAAACTCAGAAGACACGTATAGGTTCATTGGTCTTGAATAATACATAAAATGATTTTATTTGTGTTGTAGACATGGCAACCCCTGGTTCACATCACCACCACTGTAGAGTGTCTGCAAAAATTTGAAAACTGGTTCCTCTTTAAGCATGCTATATGTTAGACACTGCATTTACAGTTTAATTTCTGAATAAAGAGGAAAAAAATTATGGTTTAGTAGCAAAAGGTAGCAAATTTGGAATTTTAACAATTTGGAATCAACACATACAATTCAGGATATACATACATATTCAAATTTAGCATTTTATCATTTTATTCAGAAGTAAGGGTATCATGGTGTACAACCATATACAATTTGGTGACAATCAGCCAACTGTTCATGAATTATAGCTGTTTAAGGTAAATAAGCCACACTTGTAAAACTGTATTTGCTATGATATACAGGCAAATCTGCTATTCATTCAAGCTCATTTTGATGCAGATCTGATGAAAGGCCTAGTACTAGTTTGCAAAAATAAGTCAAACATATGATGCAAATAATCTCAAAATGAATTTTGGTGGATGAGCACTACAACCACAATAACGTCAAATTAAGTCAGTTCAGTTGTCTGAGTAGCGGGGCGGATTCTGCACCAAATTTAGTGTGACGTTCTATGCAGCCTGTTCTATATTAGAAAAATAAGAAAAAAAAGAATCTAACAAAAGCAAATGTTCCTGCACCTTTCGCTTGCATTAATACTAATAATATAGTACTCTGCAAAGTTTTAGACACCTGAGAAAATGATTTACAAAACTAAAAGAAACTGTTCTTCAAACTAGCTCACAAGATATCAACTACTTTTCTCTAAATAACATTCTTTTTTTTAAATGTACTTAAGTTTATTTGCATTTGTTTTTGCATTTGTTTTTTTTTTTGTTTTTTTTGTAATGACATACAGTGTTTAATAACCAGCATAACAATCTGAATGACAGTTAGAATCCTTGAAATTTCAGCTTGCATTTCAGAATTTCTTAGTGTTTGGAGGTGTGTCCCACTTTTGCATTTATGACACCTGAGTTGCCATGGACTTCTCAGGTTTGTGCAAAAGTCTCTGATGACAAGATCAAATCCACCTGAAAGTCATCTGAACAAGAGCTTCAGTGAAAGAGATAAACCTACAAAAATGTACCTTTTTTGTACAAAGGCCTGAACATACTCAATTTCACAAATTTGACAGTTATCTAGAAACAATGTAGAATTTCACTTCTTCTTCTAAAATCTAAAACTTGCTTACTTTTAGGCTTAAAGGAAAAAAAATCCAGATGGTCAAAGCAGTCTCAGACTTTTGGACTGTACTTTGTGTGTGTGTGTGTGAGTACATGAAGTCTCTCCTCAGTGATGGAAGGGACTTCATGTACTCAGTAAAACAGAACATTTAGAACTCAGTAATAATTTAACAAAACTTGTAAAAATTTTAGACTGGTGGTTGTGAGCATTGTGAATTAAGTACAGTGGCTATCAGCGCAATACACAATGAGCAGCACCTCTTAGGGTCTATTCTGTGCTTGGAAACCAACCACAGAACAAGCTACCCAAGACTGTCCTTACATCTGGACATAATGCAGATATAATCAATATATGATTTCAATCCCAAGAGATCAGCAAACATAAAATAAAAGAGACATAACTGTTTGCATTGTTGTTAGACTACTTTTTACTGTAGACACATTTATATAAGTTTAATTTATTCAGTTATAGTTGTATGACTGGACATTTAAGCTTCATCAGCATTTGAACGAGAGGGTTACAATTGCAGATTAACAGCACCACACAGCACAATGCAGCTGGGCCTCAGCCTGCACTCTACAGATGGTTAAAGGCTCAATCTAGGAACATGCGTTAACTCTGTTAAGAAAATATAAGTACCATTAATAAATTACACCCTGTTATTATCACGTTTACTTTGACAGCTCTGTAAGTTTACCATCTAGAAACCTTTATGGGTACTGGAGGAGGAAAGGATAAGATATTAGACTTACTGAGATGCCTGTGTCCTTATTGAGGATGACCTGTAGAAGGTGAGGGGGGAGGATGGGGGGAGACTTGAACTTCTCATCCTGTTTGGGGACGTAAGCGTCCTGATGATATGGACCAGGAGGAGAGCTTGATAAATCTGAAGATTAGAGACAAAATCAGATGTCTCAATAGGATTGACATGTGAAACAATACGCTAAAATAATAATTCTGTACTTTCTCCAATCCAAAATGCTTAAGTATGCCTCAGGATTAAAATTTTCCACTGCACTTTGCAGGAAATTTTATTTAATAGCATTCAGATTTTTAATTGTGCTACGAATAACCTTCCTGACAGTTAACAGTTAACATGACAGTGATTTATAAATCTACTTTGACATGCATTTGAATGAAAACTTGACATAACTTGAGATATTTATTGTTTTTCCTTATCAACACATTTACAAAAGAAAATTATGTGTTCATTCTGAAATTGATGCCTGCAACACGTTCTAAAAAAGTTTAGCATTTTGAAAGTATCAAAATGACCTAGTTAAAATATAACAGCAAAGCAAACATGCCATTTAGAATGAGTGTATGTTTAGGGAAAAAACAATGCCATTTGTAGAGTGTATGTGTATATATATATATATATATATATATATATATATATATATATATATACACACACACACACACATTATATACATAAAGGCATTCATATCTGCATTTGTACAGATATCCAAACATCTTATATATACACATCTCCTGAGCCCTTTCACACATTATATATCACTCTTTATTCTATATTATATTCTTTGTATTTTATTTTACTTTTGCCTTAGCTCAGTACTTGTTAATAGTCTGTGTGCCTGCCTGGTCTGTTTAGTATGTCATACCTGTGTGCACTCACCAAGACTAATTCCTTGTATGTGTAACAGACTTGGCAAAATAAAGCAATTTAGATTCTGGTTCTAAAACATGAAATATTGCGTTTTTGTACCATTTTCAATTTAACACACATCAAACAGAAAGTGAAGCTTGACCATACCTGACATGTCAGAGCACTTCTGCGAGTCCACCATGAGGGCGTCGAAAACCTCAAAGTCTGTCTTCTTCACCTGAATGATGTTGTTGACAGTGCCCAGCTGATTGGTCACTACAGGCTGATAAAAAATACAATTACGCAAAGTGAGTTAGCATGTTGCGGCACAGGAACATCAGCAGTAGATGATAGAGCGTTACAGTATACTGTAACTTTGTCAGGTAAATCATAAGCGTTGGCCCAAATAATCTGAATAATCAAGTATTTGCTATGTTGTTATGTTGGTTTGTTTCCTTGTTTGGTATTCAAAAGCTTTGTTACCCTTTAGGCCCCAACAGATTTACAGAACACTTGTGGATTCAGAGTTAGAGGCTTATTTATCACTGTTTTAAACAAAACATTATCATGAAACCAGGAAAATGGTAATTACTTAACAAAAGATGTGATATTAGGCAATAAAAAATCATGTCATATCCAGGTAACATTAGTTAAAGGCTACCCCTCTAAGATTTCACAACGTCACCCCTTTTCTTTGAAAGGCTGAAGCAAGATAAGTTGGTGAAATGTGTTAAAATAGCAAACAGTGTTTAAGGACCATTCAACTCAACTGGTTCAAACTGCAGTTTAGAAAGACTATTCAAAAATTATTTAGATCATAGACATAATGCAAGCAATATACTATGATATATTTAAACACAATAGGCATTATAAAAGGCATTAATTGAGATTCTTTTCAAAAACTTTACTCAAAACAGGTTGTCCCAAGTTTCCATGTCACTACCAAAACATGAAGAGTTTTAGTCTATAGGCAGAGCCTTATTTTAGCCATGTCCCAGCATTTTACAGCAGGAAGTGAAACTGCATCCCTGCCGCCACAGAGAGACAGGCAGTGAGAGCAGGCTACTTAATTGGTTACGCTGATTCCTATAAGACATAAATGGCTGTAATCTGATCTCAGAGTCGTAAGTCCTAACTGGTATTTATGTTCTCTTATAGAAGTCATTTCATTTGGGAAGGACCTTGAACTTGAACCACTAAGCAATCAGTGGAATCTGAACTTGTATGCATTCAATAAACCAGCTAAAGTAGAATGTTTGATCAAAAAACAAAACTATTTAAAATAAAAAAAACAAATATACTTAAATTAAGTTTAACTGAAATGTAAATATGATTTTTAAGAGTAGTAACACCAACTGGTTTCTGACACCTGTAAAAAGCTGTTCAGGCCAACCTTAGAAATTGCAACACATTCTGCTTGAGTATTGTGACATTTGTGAGTGAAACATGGTATCAGAGAGGGGCTCTGAGCAAAATAATGCAGGTCAATCTTTAACTATGTCACAATGTTTCATCAGGGCATCTTTAACATACTGCAAGGCATATCGCAATCACAATATGGATCAATACATTCCCAATATAGCATTTTGTCCATATTATGCATGTTATTTGTGTGTCAGTGGACTCTGCATAGATTGACTTAAACCCACAGGTAGCTGTAGCTTCACCCACAGCTCAAGCAGTAAGAAAGTAGGTCATTTTACATCAGGGTAGCCAGGTACCAGATAAAGCAGCATACTGCCAAAGGATAACAGCATCAATAATTAAATAACCCCCCCTCAGTTGTCCATTTTCTGGATTAAATTTGTATTAAGTTAGATCCTAATGAGATTTTTCTATTCTACTCTACTCTATTCTATTATCTAAGGCTCACTATAAACACTTATATCAGTGACTGAAGGGAAAATGTGATGCTCAAGTTGGTCACCTCTGAGGGGTCGTGCGTCCATTGTCCATCCACATAGAATTTATACTGGTGTTCACCCTCAGGTAAGTCCACAATTGCCACAAAATTGTTTTGACTAGTGGAGAGAAAGAGAGAGAGCAAGGCTTTGAATCAAATCTCATATGAAGCCAGATACAGCAAGATAATAAAGGCAGAAAATGAAAGGCAGAAAGCAGCTCTAAGCCACAGGCGGCAATGCTCCACCTGGAGTTCTCTGCTCTAGTTCTAACCTTGATATCATACTATTCAAATATTCATTTGTAGATGCAAGGATGAGGTATAAGACTGGCTCACTGAAAAACACTTAAGCAGTGAAGTTAGTGGTGTCAAAGTTTATGTGTTAATATCATCAAGTTTATCATCAAACTATGTCAAGTCTGAAGTATCATTTACAAGCAAAACGCACCACTGATGCCTGAATACCAGTAAATTGTCAGAGTAAACTATACAGCACTATCAGGAGAGAAATTCACAAAGGAAAGCTCCCTCAAAACAAGACATAACGTAACAATACGACAGTGGGAGGCTACAATCGCAGAGGAGTTCGAACCGTTGACTTGTTTTATTGTTTTTCTAAGAGAAAAATATGTAAAGACATGCTCTACAGGGAAAAAACGTAAATATAGTGTTTTTCTGCAAATTTTACTGCACAAGAATTTAACATTTTGAAAAAACGAATATATAAACATATATAAAATGTGCCATAACGTTTACACAAGCCACATTTTTTGTTTTGCTTTTATGTTAAATTCAGCAAATAAAAAGTAATTGTGCACTAAAATGTGCTGAAGTGTGTTCTTTGTATAGGATGTGTTCACATATTTGCACTTAAAAAAATCAATAACAAATGTCATTTGACCAGGGGTGCCTAAACTTTTGCATATAACCGTATGTGATATATACACTCACTATAATAAATAACAAATAATTTTGTACTTTTTGTAAGTCTTTTTAAATAGAAATAAATAGGTTCAAATGAGGAAAGAAGACAAATGAAATTAATCACAACAGACTACCCAAAAGGATGCGACTGATCCTGATTAATTATTTATTAATTATTAATTGTTTGACAGCCTTAACTGAATTTACTGTGTACATCAATATTTCTCTTTCTGTTTTCTTAGATTTGGCAACACCTCTGCTGATATATTTTATTCATGTGGAAATGATGTGCACATTTGAAATGAGTAGATTCAATGCAGAACTTTGCTCAGTGTGTGTAATATAAGACGCCTCAGGAGCATTTTTTAATATCTCCTTCAATTGCATTACAGGTAATACAGCCCTACTGGCCAAATAATGAAGTTTCCTTTCATACCTCCTAGTCAGAGGAATCTTATTTGTCCAGTTGTTAAAGGATCCAGAGATATAGACTTCTTTCCCTACACCTGTCCAGCGAAATACAGTGGGTCGTGCCAAGGGACCTTTATCTCTGCCCTCTATGTCCTGCCTCCAGTCAAGAAACTCTTCTTTCTCTAAAGGAGCCTGAGAGGAGAGGAGGAGAAACACAATACAACCACAGAAACAGCTAAATTACTCCAATAATGATGTTTTTCAGGCAACTGAGCACAGTCCTAAACAGCACCTAGTTTAATAATATAACCGTTTACTTGCACACCTATGGTTTGATATTAGTCTAAGACTGCTAGTTCTAAGAAATGACTGTGTAAGCAGCACATTTTAACTAGTGCAGACCGAATAAGCTTGCACTTTGGAACATGTAAACACTTTGACCACTCCACTGACTTTAATGCAGAGATTTGTGACAGTTTAAGAGACTTCCTGCAATGTGTCTGATGATGGCTTTCTGACACCAAAACAAGCCGCACTTGCTGTAATCTATTTTTAAACAGAGCTATTAAAAAGGCTTGGAGCAAAGCGTTTCTCAATATTTGCATTACTACCACAGCTAGAGTGGAAAACAGGAAACATAGAATGGAGGGAAACTCATACCCTAACTTTTAAAAGTTTAGAATCACAATTCAGAAGTTTGGATTCACTGTTTTAAACAATACAAAACCAGTTTAGTTACAGATACATGTGTAATGACTTTAATGCAGAGATCTTTAATTAAAATTCAATAACGTCTAGTTAAAGAAAATTTCCTCAAGCAAAGGTCTGGAACATCATAATGTCTACCTTGCATCATGATTCAGTGCCATACACTGTATACTGAAGTAGCCTAGTAGTTATATCAATATCTTATACAGTCAACAACTGAATGTCAAATCAATACACAATTCAGTACAATTCAGTAATATTTTAACAATATTTATTGTCAGTTTTCTCTTTTAGAGCACACCATGTAAAATAATATCTCACCTCGTCCCTCCCCTGTGTGTGCGTCACTCACTCGAGTCTCAGTGCTCATCGTAATGCACCGATCTGATTTTTACAACGCATGCGATTGGTCTGTGAGTTTCCCGGGCTGCTAAACCGGTACCGTAATGACTAGAAATGATACGCCAATTAAAATAGGACTAATTCTCCATAGTTTATCGGTTGTAGGTCCCGGTCCGCATAGCGCCTGGGTCCGGACTCGGACCGTGGTCCGCCTATTTTTGACCTCTGCTCTAGTGTGATGCTAAGACTCTACAACTTCTCAGGTTTCTAATACTTTAAGGAGGCTACAGTCCAACATGATGGACAGAGAAAAAACTGGTGAACAGTGATACAATAAAAAAGTCACAAGATGTTTATGGGCGGGGCAAAAGTCCATAAAATTTTGACAGAACAATTTTGTTTTGTAAATGATGTTTTGATGTTGTTGATGTCTGATGTTTCAGGCTGACTATAACGAAGAAAAAACACAACAACGTTCAGCTCCCCCATCCTCCCATAAAAAGAGATTGATGCTCATGATGAACAGGTTGGAGAATTTGTAAAAGATTCACAGCTTACAAATTAAATCACGCTGCCAAAGTACCTTAATGTCATCCCCGTGAAAAATATCAGCATCTTCAGGACTGTCCATCAGGATTTTTGGACGATCCCCCTCCTTAGCTCCACGGCTGTCTCTGCGATGGGCTTTCTCGCCCTGCCCAACAGCTGCCCTTTCGCTGCTTGTATTCCCCATTGTGCCTTCAGAAGTGCCGCAAAGAGATCACACGGGGCACCTGGCCAAGGCTTTGATTACACTGTGGGCAAACAGATAAAACATGGTCCACTGCAGTGGGAAACATACTGCAAAAGCACATGCCAACCTGTAACTTGCACTGCTGTATCAACAAATACATGTTTGGATAGAGCTGGTGGATATGTTGTCTATATTCAGACATGCAAACTCATGAAAAAGGTGACAAGTTCAGATACCAACCACCACCCACCCCTACGCACCACACGGAAGTCTGGAAGCTCTGCCCCCCGGAGAAATTCTAATGATTTTAAAATAAACTTAACCATTACTGCTCACTGCAAGACTAAAATATAGGAAAAGACATAAAAATGAACGTCAAAAATGATAAATGAATGTCATTATAAAAATCATAAAAACTCACTTTATTTGTGTTCCATCTGCTAAAAGGTCTATTTTGGTTCCTAAGTGTTTGTATTGGCGCACTGTGCTTGGACCCCATTGATCGTTGCTTGTGGCTATATTTATCGACTGCCGCTTAGCAAGTCATAGCTTTCACAACAGCTCATAAAAATCAGCATGTTGTATGAAGAACAGCATCAATTCCAGATGAAACTTGGTTGCAAACAATGATAATTTACACTTATTAACCTATGTTCGAAAGCTTAGAGAGAAATCCTATAGCTTATTTTACTGTTAAGCTAATATATGCTAAGAGTTTATTTCCAAATTGCTGCTGTAGCATCTGAAACCAGGTTAAAGGAGAATCTGCTTCCAATCTGTAGGGAGATGCTGCAGATGTTTATCTTGGTTCTGAATGGCTCACAGAAATAAAACACTATATAGACTGGATGAAAATAACATGCTGCAACATTTCCCTTAGAATTATCCTTGCTGGCAGGAGAACAGTAACTTTTACTGATGTCTCTTCAATGGTTATTTAATAAAGAAAATGGTTCTGTTTAGAATCATGAACACTCAAAAAACCCTTTGCATGATTAAAGGGCTCTTTGCATTACGAAAGTGTTCTTCAGATTGATGGAGAGTGTGTTTTATATGGTTCTACATAGAGTCTTTAAAAAAAGGGTTGAAAAGGACTCTATATAGCATCAAGAACCCTTTTTGGTGCTATATAGAGTCCTTTTCAAAACGGTTTCTATATAGAACAATCTACAGCACATTCAGTTCCTCAATCTGCTGAACCATTTAATGATGCAAAAGGTTCTTTGAGTGGTCATGGATCTATACAGAACCATTTTCTTAACTAAAGAACCCCTAAAGAACCATCACTTTTAAGAGTGATAAGAGAGGTAAGTTATGTTTTGTATTTTAAGGAGTTAGTTATTAACTGTATCATTAATGTAAAGCAAAAATCTTTAAATAGAACAGATAGTTAGATCATTTGTTTCTATCAGTGTGCACTAATATTTTCTATTTTACCGTTATGATTTATGTTGTAACACTCACATTACACACACTTCTACCAATACAAGTACACCAAAGGTGAAACTGATGAATAACAAAACTGAGTGAAATCTGTGTGCACTCATTTTATGATCAGATTCCACCACACACAACTTACTATACCGATCATACAAACACTGCAGACTTCAGCACACTGCCTCATTAAACACACCTGATTTGGCTCATCAGCTAATTAGCAATGCCTTCATGAACTGTATTCAGAGCGTTAGATGAGGGTAAACGCTACTATCTGCAGCTCTTTGGCCCGGAAGGACCCCAGTTTGACCTGCCTGATATAGGAGCACTTTGTAGTTCTACAACTGCAGACTGTATTCCATCTGTTTCTCTACATACTTTCGTAGTCCCCTTTCACTCTGTTCTTCAATGGTCAGGACCACCAAAGAGCAGGTATTAATCAGTGTAGATCCATGTAGGCATCCCTAATAAAGCGGCCATGCATAGAGGTACTGGTAAGAGAGCACACTTTCACTGCTCCTCAGCCCAGAGCTGGGGGTCTTAATACCCGTCCAGCCGACACCAGGCACTGGGCATGAAGACCCCAGGCTCATGTGCAGCTGCTCCAGGGGATCCCATTCTATTGGTCAATGCTTTTCTATTGAGATTATAAACTGTGCATGCACAGCAATGAGTGCAGCTGAATTCAGAAGGGATCTTAACAAACTCCTGGGTGTATAGTATACCTATAATAATCACATGTCCGTCAATTCCTTGCCTATGCAGCAAAATGTACCATTCCTCCTGCTCTATTCCAAGAAGCAGGACTGGTACCTGGAAAACACAAAGGTTTTCCACCCACGTAGCAACACGTAGGATTTACCCCAGGCACAACGTTACATTTTTTCCCCACAAATGAGTTGCAATTTAAGCACAAGGTCAAACTGACCGAGCAAACTAGTAGAGCAAACAGAGTCTGCTGCATTTCAAGGACGACTGCTTATAGCAACACATGGTGGGAATGTAAAGTGATGCATATTCCACCATCTGCTGGACTTTAAATGGTTAGTGGTGCTGCATGTTCACCTGCAATCACAAGCCACAATGAAGCTGAAGTTAGCTTCTTGTTTGCCAGCTTCTTTGAACTTCCCGTTCCACCTTAAATAGTGCAGCAGTTGCATGTATTTAAGGTGGAACAGGAATTTCAAATATTGAGCCGGCGATTAAAGGGGTATTTTTCACAAATGCTACGTAATTAAATGGTTAAGATGTAAAATAAATCGGTCAGAGTGGTTTGGTGTGAAATGCTCTGTTCTAGAGAAACTCACTGAGTCAGAACTGTTCACAGTGGTGGTGATAGGAACCAGACGTCCATCTCTAAAAGCTCACAGAAAGTTATTACATGAAGTGGTTATGAATACACTGCCTGATGTCCGACACATAGTTTTGTGATAATGTTTTGGCTTACAATGTATTTGAAACCTTTTATTTTATTCCATTCTTGGTGGAGAGGTAAATGCAGGGTGTTGTGAGGCAAAACAGTCCCCCCTAAAAACTTATATATACGACTATTTTACCATAATCAACATTACATATAAAAGCTCAGAAGACTAGGTTAAGTGGTTTTGGATAGAAAACAATATGTCTATATTTGTGTTGTAGACATGGTGACCCCTGGTTCCTACCACCACTAGAAAGAAACCAGAGTCTCTACAATGAACCATTTTACATCAAACTACTCTGAATGACTCTATTTACAGCTCAACCACTAAATTATGCAGAACTTTTGAAAGAAAATGGCATAATTCCCCTTTAAGCATCCAACATCAGCCTCCACAAGTTAGCCAGCTAACCTAGCGAGCTAAATGTAAACAGTACTGTTGCTAGCTGGTAGCCGGTAACCAACAACAAGAGGGTGGGCAATGTGGGCATCAGCTGAACCTAGCTACGTTTTACAGTTTTTACGACTGGAACTGCTAGTTGTTCCCTACTACGCTAAAGTGACTACAAAGACTAAATAAACAAATATATTTTTGCAAAAATACATAAAAAATAAAAGCTAACGTTAGTGGTAGATGGTCCAAACTTGAAAGCTACACCCAACACATTAACCCAGACCGTTAACTACCCTGCATTTCTCGCTCAAACGAGGCTAAAGTCAGCTTCATATTCGCCAGCTTCTTGTTCGAATTTCCCCGTTCCACCTTAAATGGTGCCGCAATTACATTCCGGCTCTTGGTGCGTTATAATCATAACTGCTGCACCTTTTAAGGTGGAACGGGGAAATTTCGAACAAGAAGCTGGCGATAAGAAGCTGACTTCAGCCTCGCCGCACTCAAGGTCGTTAGCAGTTTCATCGTCACTCTAATGAATGGTTGTTAAATCTATCACTCACCTTATTCCTTTTCTGAACAGCTGGTACGCCTTTTATACGGCAGACAGAGACCTTCAGCTGATTTTACCTCATTTTTTAATCCACATTTATTTTTTATCGCTACATCACATCTCCGCCCCCTACAGTGCTAATCCCACTGCGCATGCGTGGGTTTAACCACTGTGGGCCACTAGATGGAGACAAACAACAGAGGGCGTTAAACTGGAGTGGCGCTGGAGTCATAGCACCGAAATAAAATATATAATACATAACAAAATACATGGAAACAAGCTATAAATACTGTTTTCTTGTTTAAAGTTGAGTGTGTCTTTTGTTTATTTGTTTGTTTGTCCTGTTTTTGAGATCTCTCACACAACTCATGGAAAAAATCCTGTAACAAGACTGAACAAGCAGAAGACTGGATTCTAAAAACTCTTAAATTTATATTTTGCAGCAACTCAGAGTCTTCTTGTTCGCTACACAGACCAACTTTTCCCAGCTATGTGCAAACATGAACTTTACTTTTTGAATTTAACACAAACTATAAGCCTTTTTCAAAGGTTTGGGCACCCCTAGGCAAATTACCTTTTTTGTTGATTTTTGTGATAAACTACTAAAAAAACAGAAAATATGAGTGCACATATGAGTGTTACTTTATGTTTGATGCACTTAAAAACTAAAACAGAAACAATAATAAAATAAAAACATAATTGTGACGTGCAAAAGTTTGGACACCCTACTAAGTCAGTACCTCTTCTGGCAGACCTCATAGCTTGCACACGCTTTTTGTAGGCATCTAGGAGTCTTTCACTCATATGTTAGCTAAACCTTCCCGCAGGTCCTGCACTCATCAGCTGACAGTCCCTAATAATGATTCTTTCTGCCTAAGCGGTCCTAAAAGTCAGTTAAGGCTAAATGAGTTCAGTAAGTTCTGAGACTGTGTAACTGGAAGGGTGTCCAAACCTTTTCACCACTATCCTTTTCTTCTATTTTTTAAGTTCATCAGATACAAAGTAACCATACATTAGCATTTGCTGGAATTGGTATTTTTAAAAATAATTTGGTGCAGAGGTTGTGTTTACTTCTTTTCAATTAAAAAATATAAAAAATAATAAAAGTAATTTGGCCAGGGGTGCCCAAACTTTTGCATACAACTGACTTGCACTTTAGACTTTTGCTTTGGCTAGCCCTATACCTCAATTCTGTTTATTTCATTGAAATATTGGCAAAGTTTCAGTAGTGTTATGATTTTTTTATTAGTGACGGTTTTGGTAGTGAGAATTTTAGCTAATTTCAAGCAGAACTCAAAATGGCTAGCAGGTACATGACTAGCAAACACAGCTTTGAACAACTGTATACAAATAAAATCATCATATTTTCATTAAAACACTAAAAGATTTACTTAATTGCAGAAAATATGTGTTATATATGGGTAGCGACAATTCTTAATGTTCCACACTGATTTTCAGATTTTGGGACACACTTACTTCAAAACAATGAGATCTTACTGCTCACCATGTGGCCAAATCTTGACTAAATCTTCTTGTTTCAGTAGTGACATGAAAATAGGAGACAGCAAGGTTTTTTTGTTTCGCTTTAGTTTTTTATTTATTTATTTATAAATAAAGCTAAACATAAATCTATACCTTTCAACTTCACTTGAAAAGAAATACAAAAGATCTTTAAAAAAATGTCAAAAAGTTTCACAAGTGTAAATTTAGGGTTAGGGTTTGGGACAGACACCTCACAACAGAAAATACTCAATAAATGATGATTTTATATATATTTTACTTATTACTATCTCTATTAATGTGTTGGGTTTAAATAGATAATTCTTGTAAATGTCTGAATACGTAAATAAATGAATACTAAAGTTTTGTTTGTTTGTTTGTTGTTATAGTGGGTCTGTAGTTTATATTGTAGTATGTGTGGTGCTCAGAAGAAGCTTAGAGAAGTCAAGCCCATAGTGAAGCTTTATTTAGAACCAACTCCAGCGTACAAGAAAGGAAAATCTCTGTTATTTCCAACAGACAGAACCGTGCTTTTTTAAACCTATAGTGCAGCTGTAGCTCTACAGAATCCTGCCGGGATTATGAATCAGGACCCAAACCTGGATGTCAGTAGCTCCACTCACAAATGCAATGCCTACCCGAACTGCTCCAGCATGGTTCACACAACCTGGATATATTAATATCACACACTTGAAAATGCAACTGAAAACCTTAAAAGCTTTACTTACTGTTGTATGAAGGAAATATAGCATGGATATGCATAAGCAAAACATATATATATATATATATATATATATATGTGTGTGTGTGTGTGTGTGTGTGTGTGTGTGTGTGTGTGTGTATTTTGTTTATTTGTTTACACTAATATTACACATTGCACACTGCACTGTCACTTTGTCTTTGCATCACATATTACCCTTAATGTTTATTGTTTGGTTTACTGTTTAGTAGGGGTGGAAATCTCTAGGCACCTCACGATTCGATTCAAATACGATTCAGAGGGCTGCGATGCGATTATAAAACGATTATCGATGCATCTCGATGCATCTTTTTTTTCTATACAGCGTTTCTGTTTTCTCACTGTGTGAGCTCAAGTTTCAAGTTTATTTGTCACTTGCACAACATGTCAGGACATTTATGCATTGAAATGCTTGTGGTGAGGCTCAGCTAATCACTCTACAGAAAGTAAATAAGTAAAAGTAAAAATACAAGAAAAACCAACTGAAATATATTAAATATACACAAAATATACACAGAATATACACAGAATATAGAGACAATATACATTTTAAAGTGACTAAGTAACTCAGTGCTGTTATTTAAAGTGACTTGGTACTTTTAAAGCAAAGTATTTGTAATGATTTTCACTTATCACTGCTTTTGTTTAGAGCACATGAGACGCTGCTGCCACTCATCTGCGATAAAATGCGCAGTTACGGTGACAAAAGATCCTGTGGTAATGGATGTCCGCGCAGCACGTTACAGCTATTCTACCCGTTTTCTTTATTTCTTTGGTCTCGTTGTAGACAGAGGGGTGGGGGGGGATCGCTGTGTCAGTAAAGTATCTTTGAGACGGGTCGTGTGCAACATAGCGCGAAAACCCTGTTTCGCAACGACTGAGAATTGCCGTGCAGACTGCAGGTCTCATAGCAACGATGCGTTATTCGCATTTATAAGCAGCGCAGTTGGTTTCATGGTACTTTAAATCTGCAACGAGAGACTGTCTCTCTCTAAAAGGTTGCGAAGCTGAAGTCGCTTCTCTTTCGAATTTTCCTGTTCCACCTTAAATAGTGTCGCATTTACATTCGGCGCCTCAGTCAGAATTTAAGGTGGAACGGGAAAATTCGAACAAGAAGCTGGAGAATAAGAAGCGACTTCAGCCTCGTAAAACAGTCGAATGCTGAGAGACATTTTACAAGAAACTGATCTAGTTTTGAATAAACGTTTCCTGAGGGAAAGGGGGAGGAAAGCGGCTATAGCTAAAGCTTAAAGCAGAGCAAAGTAACGCTAAGTTCGCTCTCATTTATATTGTTTAGTCTATACTAGGACATTATCACATACCGACACATACTGGACATTAAATGTTGCGGCTCCCAAGGTGGTTTGATTTTTGTTGAAAGGACAAAATGTCTCTTATTAACATTTGTGTTGTGACTCGTGACCTAACCTGGCTTTTAATGCAGGGGGAGCCGGTCGGATTTCTCGCTCATCCAGTTGTGTTTTTGTTATGTGCCGCCACGGACTGTCCAGGCACTGCACTTCCGCACTTCCAAGTTCCGCCTTTTGCGTTCTGTCAACATTACGTTATAAATTAAATATTTAGAAAATCGATTTTTGACATTTCTTAATCGATTCAGAATCGTTCACGACCGCATCGCGATGCATCTAAGAATCAATTTTTTTCCCGCACCCCTATTGTTTAGTATATTTTATTCTATTATTTATTTTACGGCAATACTCTACTTCTGTTCATTTTGCTCTTATTTGCTCTTTACTGTGCTTTGTACTGCTGCAATAGAAGAATTTCCCTTTGGGGTTAATAATCTATCTATCTATCTATCTATCTATATATATATATATGATCCACACATTGAAACAGTAATATTAATGACCCTGTAGGTTCCCTGGATGGAGGCGAGCAGGAGACTGGTGCTGCTGGCAAATGTGTCATTTGAAATGAATTAATATGTTTAATTAAACTCAGATGGGCAGAAATACACATGCAGAGAAATGTACTTCACACTTCAGTCACATTTTTTATAATGTATATTAAAATCAAGGTTTTTTTTTTCTTCTCCTGTAAAGTTATCATTGTGACAGTGATGCTCTCTCTGTCTGAACGCTGCCTCCTACTGGCACTCCTTCCTTCCTCACACTGCACTTTAGGATTCACGCCTGCAGGATAACTACAAAATGAGGAGCGATGTGAAAGAGTAAAGCAGGAGTAAACAATAAAGGAGGAACTCTCAGTGTTGCAGGTTGGTGTGGTACAGTGTGTGGTGTTTATACCCTGCCAGGAAAGCAGCACCACCCCCCACCCACATCACCCACCCTCCACCACCACCACCACTTGTGCTGCTAAAATGTCACACTGCCTTCATCCTCTAGTGCTATTGTCCTCTCTGTTTCAGTATAGAGAGAGAGAGTGAGAGAAAGAGAGAGAGAGAGGGGGGTGGGAGAGGGAGAGGGAGAGGAGAGGGGGTGGGAAAGGGAGAGAGCGAGAGAGAGGGGAGAGAGGGTGGGAGAGGGAGAGAGAGGGGGGCTGGGAAAGGAAGAGAGAGGGTGGGAGAAGGAGAGAGACAGAGGGGGAGAGAAAGAGAGAGAGAGGGAGAGGGTAGGGAGGTAGAGAAAGATGGGAGGGAGAGGGGGAGCAGGGGAGAGTGAGAGAGAGAGAAGGAGACAGTAGTAATGGAGAAAGAAAGGAGAAAGAGGAATAGAAATTAAGAGAATGGGAGAAAGAAAAGAAAGAGAAGAGCAGAAGGAGGGAAATAAAAGAAAGAAAAAGAAAGAAGATAGATCATAGAGAAGAAAAATCTAGAGATAACAAGAAGAAAGGAGGGAAGGAGAAAAAGATGAGGAAGTAGAGAGAGAATGAGTATAAGAGAATAAGAATAAGATAATTTCTTTACAAGATTTCTG